GAAGGTGCGCAGCATCCCGACCTGGAGCTGGAGGGGCTGCGCCCCGGGCGGACCCCGCCAGGCTGGGGCGCGAGGCCGCCCGCCGCTCTCCACGGTACTGCGGAGAGCTCAGCTCCGCCCTTCGCTTTCAGAAGGACAGCACCCCGCGTCACGTAACCCAGCCTCCCCGGGCTCCGCCGCCGCCTTCCAGCCTTTCCCTCTCCTGCGCCGCCTGCTCCCCTCCGATGCCTGCTCTTCCCTCCCGCACTCCGGAGACGGACGCTCACGCCTGACGCCTCTGAAAAGGCAGCGGCAGTCGCCTTACCCACAGACCTCAGGAAATTCGCTGTGACCGATGCATGCTTCAGGCTCAGGCTCGAGCTAAGGGGAATCACCAGGCAGGTACAGCAGCTCAATTTGGGTTGGGGGGGGGGATGGGGCGAGGCAAGCTGGAGAGGATATCTTTCCCCGTTGTAACTGAGCCAGGATCTGCTACAAATGCTCAGGGAAGGCTGGGTGGTGGGAGGGTGGAGTATAGATCCTGGTGGTTTTGCATGCAGCTTTTTAAATAGATGGCAGGGAGATGAGATGGTGGAACCGGGCTGGTAACTTAAAGGCTAAATGCAGTGATTTATTAGCAAGAGAAAGAAAACAGGCAAGTTGGAAACCAAAGCGATACAATGTATCTGTTATCCACAGCTTTCTTTCTCTTCCCCGTCAGCCGCATGCTGTGCCTATCCTTAATTTCTGTAGTCGGCTCCAGGCTCCAAGAAACTGCACTGGTATCAGAGATGGAGCTTAGAGACTGGGCGGGAAAGCCGGGGAGAATTTTGGGTGTGCATTGGTATTGATGGACTTTGCAAAAGCCCGGGGGAGGGGGGCGAATGATAGACACTTCTAAAAATTCTCCCCAAATTTTCAGGTTCTTTATGATGGTAAATATCGGAGGGTGCACAGAAAGGTGTGTGTGCATGTGTGCATATGTGTGTGTGTGATACCACAAACATATTAAAATAAATGCAACTGCAGCCGTTGAGCACACAGTATCGATCCTTCCAGTGGCTTGGGAGTGATTTTGATTCTAGAAATGAAAGAAAAGATTAATGAGGCTGTTAGTCTGCTTTTGAATTAGAGCACTTCTTCCTTTGGCTGCAGTAAGGTTGTTTTTCAGACCCTTTTATTCCATTCTCTAATTTGCGAACTCCCAGGTTTTCCGGCACCTAGAGAGAATCCTGTTTCTCCATATCAATACAGATACTCTCTCACACACAATGAGCTTCCTCTAAGAACTGGGAGAGTCGGTTGACCTCCCCTGTGGTTAAGAATATATATATGTTTCCCCCCCTTCTCTTCCAATTCCTTAAAAAACTGTCTAGGTATGCATTGCTGGAGGAGGGCAGAAACGAGGGTGAAGAAAGGTCTTGTGATCTGTGTAACATTAACTAATAAAATAATCGGATCCAGCCGAGTTACCCATAAAAAAGGTTTTCTAACCCATGAGCTTGTGGATGGTTACAAAGCACTATTCTTGATCTTGAAATTCCAGAATCATTTCACAAATGATTGAAGATTTGGCAGATTCCGGAGTGCACTTGAAAAAACAAGAGTATATTGAATAATATGCTATCTTAGAATGATTTTTAAGAGCACCTTTCTTTGGGCTTGGCATAGGAGTAGACAAGATATGGCTGGTGGCTGCTGATGGTGTGGGATGTATCAGCCATAATAAATAAGCAACTGAGGTTTTTATTTCCTTTTGCTAGTGGGCAGTGTGTGTGTGTGTGTGTGTGTGTGTGTGTGTTGTGTATGTGTTGAAAGAGAGAGAACCAGTCATCAATTTCATCTGGGGAGGAACTTGAAGTGGGATCCCCTAGCTTGGTGGCTCTCAGCTGACACCTGTAGGGATTGCTCTGTACTGAAGAGAAATGCTGTCAGCTCCTCCATGGAGGAGCAGCAGCACAATGCGGTGCCATAAATTACTGCTAGTTTCAGCTTGTAGGGGGAAAAAGTGTTAATTGAATAGTGAGCTTCAGTGTCCAGGCAATAAATTGTGTGTGTGCGTGTGTGTGTGTGTGTGTGTGTGTGGTGGTGGTGGTGGTAATACATGTGTTTGCTTGAGATGACCAGATTATACATTTGCAATTTTTGTCTAAATATGAGAGTAGTATTTTTTGGTTAAAAAATCATGACTTTAAAACAATTTACTATTTATGATTTCTGTACCATTTCAAGAATCCGTCAGATTAGAGTTAAATATTAAGACAGGAGATTTAATAGTACAGTAATTCAAAGATATGATTTTAAATTCTAGCATCTTAGAGCCATATCAGCTAAGGTAACACATATGCCAACTGCTGTTCTGACCACACAAATTCTGAGCTGACAGCCAGCTAAGTACTTGAAGAGGAGTTCAGATCACTATGCAGTTAGGCAAAACACTAAATACTTTACACATCTGTAGAGGAGTTAGTAATATGGCAATTGAGTCATAAATGCTGCCAAAAATAAAATATCTAACTCCAGTAGGACGTTTTCTCCTATTATAGATTACTCCTTTAATAAAAAAGGAGGAAAATAGTTGTTTTAAATTTAACAAGTCTCCCAAGAAACCATCAGTATTCCTTCTCTCTCTGAAAAAAATAAAATGGTAGGAATGATACACAAATCCAAGGTGGCAGTTTTGGATTTGTCCACACAAATCCAGCGGACAGCTTGATCTGCTCTGCCTGTTGTAAAATCAGCTATTAACTGAGATTAGAATAGGTTTTATTTTTGTTGTCCACATAACCACGACACAATATAAGCATAGGTCCTTTAGGGAGCCCCCTTCATATATTTTAAAAATTAAGCTTTCTTAGAAAAAGTAAGAAATAACCATAATCAAATCTCTATGAAAACCTGGGAGGGTTACCTATTAACAGTTATGATAAACTGTAAGTGTGTAATGGGTGATTGTGAGAGTGTGATATTAACTCTTAGGACACATTAGGTCTTACTTGTAGATCAGGACAAATAAGCTCCTTCCAGTGTCAACTCTGGCTTACTAACAGCAATAGTTCTATACCTGGTTTCTGAGCTGAATAATGATTTATACGATACTATGAATTATTTAGAACTTTATTTTAATTCTCTGCAGATTTCTGGGTCCTTATTAAAAGAAAAAAGTGAAACCAAAATGCATCACCAACACACAACCAACTGATTCGCTGGCATCTTAGCAGAGGCCTTGCAGAGGCGGAGAGGCAGGAAGAGGAGCTGCTGTGATTCCCTCGTCTCACAGCTCCTGGCTACTTCCCAGCGCTGGGTTTGAACCCTGCTGTCGGGCAGGGAGAAAGAGACCCAAAACCCAGCCTGCGAGCCCGAGCCGAGGCGGTGCGCGCTCCGACCGCGGGAGCCGGCCTCCGAGGCTGCCCCGG